TTTATCTACATTTTAAAATAGTTCCTAGGAACTCTGCTGCCACTGCTACAAACCTGCAGATTTGACAAACATACAGATTGTCACAGGGAGAGAAAGTGAGGGGATTATTAATGTTGTAAAAGAAACAAATATAGCACCAACAGTTTGTGCAGAGCTGTACAAAATAAGGGAGACAGTACAGTTACAATACAATTGTATACAGGAGGGTTAGGAGGGACCTGCTCATAAAAGCTTACAATCTAAAGGGAGGGGCAAGACAAAAGGCATTAACTGCGAGGGATGAGCTGATGGAGAAAGTGAAAGTATAGTTTTATGATGAGGCGGGGGAGGCTTCCCTGAAGAGATGGGTTTTCAAAGATAGCCAAAAGTTGAACAGGGTAATAGAAGGAAGAGAGATGCACTGGAGAAGTCCTAGAGGAAGGGTTGGCCCTAGTCTTTTTGCCACCTGAGATGGCCGGGGGTATCACTGGTTGCTAGGAGCTCTGCAAGGACACCGGCAAGAGCGTCCCAGGTTGCTAAGAGCTGGGTGGGGAAATGTGTATGACCCTTATACATCTCCCCACATGGCTCGTAGCAACCTGGGATGCTCTGGTTAAAAAGAGCCAAACATTGTGCAGCAAAGAGGCCTTGGCACTCTGCCTGCCCTACGTGACCCAAACAGATGCCTCAAGCAGCCTCATTATACCAATGGCCCTGCCTGGAGGCGAGCATGGGAGGAGGTGACGTGGAGACTAGAGTTAGGAGCAGAGTGGACGGTTTGAGTGATATTTGAATTGAGTTTGGAGATGTAGCTTAGGGGAGACTTGTGGATGGCTCGTAAGAGCTTACAGTCTAAAGGGAGGGGCAAGTTTATTCAAAAGGCATTAACTGTGTGAGATGAGCTGATGAAGAAAGTGAAAGTATAGTTTCAGGATAAAGTGGGATAGGCTTCCCTGAAGAGATACATTTTCAAGGATTGTCTAAAGTCAAACAGAGTAATAGATAGCCAGATAGATTTGGGTTCCAATCGAAGGGAGGAGCACTGGAGCAGTCCTGGAGGTGAGCATGGGAGGATGTGAAAAGGAGACTAGAGGTCTTGGTAGGAGCAGAGTGGCCGGTTTGGGTGATATTTTGAATTGAGGTTGGATATGTAGCTTAAGGAAGAGTTGTGGATGGCTTGTAAGAGTTTACAATCTAAAAGGAGGGGCAAGGTATACAAAAGGCATTAACTGTGAGGGGATGAGCTGATGGAGGAAAAATACAGATTTAAGATAAGGTGGGGTAGATTTCCCTGAAGAGATGAGTTTTGAAGAATCGTCTAAAGTCAAACATAGTAATAGATAGTCAGACAGATTGGGGTTTAATACGAAGGGAGAGGCACCAGAGAAGTCCTGGAGGCGAGCATGGGAACAGGTGACCAGGGTTAGGGTGATATTTTGAGATGGGATTGGTGATGTAGATTAGGGGAGAGTTGTGGATGGCTTTATGTGTTGTTGTTAGTATTTAGAATTTTACTAGCTGGGCGAGCAGAAGCCAATGGAGTGACTGATAGAGACAGGCGGTGTCCACTGACCAATTGGTAAAGTCAATAAGTCTGGCAGCAGCATTCAAGATAGACTGAAGGAGGATAGTTCCTCTGTTGGAAAGATATAGTAACAGCTAGTAAGGGCAAACTAAAAAATCCACTGGCTAGAGTTGTTCTTTAAATACTGCTCTTCAGTATTAAAAAAAACATTGAACTATAAAATGCAGAAAAGGGAATGCTGCAGCCTAGTTGGGCAGCTTAGAAATCCGAGTATATTTGCCATAACATAAATGTTATTCTAAAAACTGGTACTGCTCCTGAAATCACGGACTGCCAGCCACACTGTATTTGTCACTATTTATTTAAAGTGTTATTACTTTACCACAATATACTAACTTCAGTAAGCAAAGTAGGAACTCGCCAGCTGTCAGACTACTTTTAATCCAAAAGTGACTAAGGCTTTAATGATTAAAAGCATAGCATCTCATTCGCTGGACCAGTGAGCTCGAGTTTCGGAACAGATGTACCGATTCCACTGGGAACAGCATGGTGCATAGTTTGTGCAGTCAAAACATTCTCTTCTGGATCCTTATATTCCCTGCACAGTCATTAAATTATATAGCTGGTCACTAGGCATCTCTTTTAGAGAAACTAATTTAGACATGAGGTCACGTAAAATTCCTTGCCAATGACAAATGAGTGTACACTGCCATTAATATTTAAAATTGCAAGCTTACAGTATAAGAAACACGTTACCAAGCAGTAAAATTAAAATCATGAGAAATCCTGGATTTATACAATTTAAATAACAGCTACAACAAATAATTCATTTATAAAAAATTAGCATGAAAACAAAGAAGGTGTCACCATAGAAACCAATCAAATTCTGGGAATTATTTCTATACTGCAGAAGGTTAACACTACATCCTGATTGAATGCTATACTTAAAGGAGAACTATGGGGTCAGTGTTTTTCCCCATAGTTCTCCTTAGGGTAACGGGAGGACACAAACTAGCGTCCTCCCGTTACCCTAAGCTCAGTATACCGCGAGCTACAGCTCGCGGTATACTGAGACGCCGGAGCGGATCCCGACGTAGATGACGGGATCCGCCCAGCTGCGTGAGTGACAGCTGGCTCTGCCTATCTAGAGGCAGAGCCAGCTGTACCCGCCCCCTCCCCCGTCCGTTCCGCCAGTCAGCGCTGGCAGATCGGAGAGGCGAATCCAGCCCCTCCCCCTGTCACGGCAGAGAGCCGTGACAGGATCGAGAGGTGAGCAAACCCGGTATGTGTTCGTTCACCTCCCGATCTACTGAGCCGACCTGTGACAGTCTCATTGTCACTGGTCGGCTAGAACTATGAGGTGAGTGAAAAGCACTCACCTCATAGTTCTCCTTTAAAGCGGACCTTTATCTCTTTCAATAAAAATCACATCAGCATGCAGCTCTGCACTGATGTAATGATGGCGAGTCTTTACACGCTGCCCGGCTAATCAGGAAGCCACCTGGCTTCCTGAATGGCACTTCCGTTACTCGGTAATTGGTATCGGCCACAGAGGAGAGACCTGAATTAAGCAATTTGAGGCCTCACCTCCGTGGCGGATTGGTATCTTTAGACCTGCTTCTGTGCTCTCCTCTTTTGATGTGGTGGTGCCCCTCATGATCCACCATGGAGGTGAGGATTGAAATCACTTCATTCAAGTCTCTCGTCTATGATCAATTAGCAGGGGCACTGCTGGGAAAATAGAAGCAAGCCCAGAAGCGGCTTCTTAATTAACAAAGCAGCACTGGAGAATGAGAGGATTTAAAGCCTCACCTCTGTGGTGGATCAGGAGGAGCGCCGGTGAGACAAAAGAAGAGAGCCCAGAGGTGTGGGGTGGGGGCTGGGGTGTGTAGATGGAGAAATTCTCCATGGAAGGGGGGGAGCAAATCTGAGTCTTTGCCCCGGGTGACAGAATGTCTAGCTTCGCCACTGTTTATGGAATCTGCTTGTGGATGTTCAGCTCCATTATCCCTTTATCCAATCCGGGGCGTTTATCCTGTGAAGACGATTTGGTAAGTCTTGTATTTTCAGAGATGTTTATTATTAAAAAAATTGTCTGCATGGGGGAAACCTTTTTAAGGGGACTGGAGTGTTTATACGGTGAGTGAGTCAAGTAGGCCACATTCCTAATTACAATTAGCATGCCTACTGTTTGTTTTGGTGTTCTTCATATGCCACTGCTTACATATCCTAGTAAGATTCTTTCTGGGTTGACATCTCTGCACCAGTGTGTCCTTTCAGAGCCGCTACTGGTACACTAGTCAAATAGAGAAAGTTGACCAGATTTTCAAAATCCGAGGATACCCAACGGACCACGCCCATTTTTAACCACACCCATTTCAATCAATATTTAAACAGTATATGCAATATGTATACACATGGATATCCCTAGGTTAATCTCCCCCTAAGGCCATGTCGTTCCGAGGGGGAAGGGTGTTGCTGTCAGGGGATTGTCAATGGTGGTGGGGCACCACACAGAGCGTCACAGGTTGCGAAGAGTTCTTAGCAACTTCAGATGCTGTGCCCCCTGCTGCACCCCCACCACCACCCAGCTGCTCCCCAGTGAGATGCCTCATTATAGGGATGGCCCTGTGTATAAAATAACCATTCCCATAAGGGCAATCTGCATGGTTTCACCTATAAAAATAAGAAAAACAGTGAGACAAAATATGAGCATGACTTGGATTATGGAAGACTTGTGGCACCCTGGGATTGAATTTGGAAACAAGTTCTGCGCACGTACCACGGTGAATGGTGTGTATTTCAAGATTGTGTCTAACTGTGGGCGTGGCCTAAAGTGGGATAAATCAAACAGAACTACATTCTCCGATCCCTTACAGACAAGGAAGGTGCCATCTTAGCCTCTGTTTGGATTGCAATTGCCAGGGGTCTGCATGTGTGATCGGCTATGACAGCAGACATTTGAGGGCTTGAGATTTTGGTTGAGAGCTGGAATAAGCACACTGAGAACCTTGATGGTTGGACTTGATTGCGATGACACATGATTTTTAGTGTTAATAATGCTATTTGTGAATAGAGCAATTTTGTTTAAGAAAAATTTTCCATCCCACTCCGACTTCTTTCATCATCAAAGTTGAAGAAAAGTTCTTCAGAAAATCTAAGCAGTGTATAGGTGGCAACAGGCAGGAAGACGCAGGCATCTGACACACCAGGAAGTGTCAGAAACTCTTGAACAGTGGTACCGGTGGTACTGGTAATAGAGTATTGTAGAGTCTCTAATCCATGAACTGTTCACTGCCACCCCAGGAGCTGTGACTTGGGTTTCGTCCTCTCTGTTTTCATACACTACAGACACATGCCAAAATCAGGGGCACCCTGAAGCCTGGAGCCCCGCTATCACTAGTAATCTCCAGCCGTGTCATTTATAAATAAAGCATGTTTTAGGATGGAAAAAAAAAACAAGAGTAGCGTGAGGCGGTAGTAGTGACGTCACCGGACTGTCACCGGATGCCGGAAGCGGGAACGGAAACTGAGCTGCAGAGAAGGAGGAAAAATACAACAAAACGAGCGGCGTCCACGGAGTTGAATTTGGGCGAGGGCTGGCTGCGAGGTGACGCATTCCCCCGCCATCTCTGAAAGGATCCTCTTCCCCCGGCCTGGGGGAGGATGACGGCTCTGCAGGGAGACTGGACCGGGGAGGGCTCCGGGGCACGGTGAGGTAAATATGTCTGTGTGTGGCCGGTCTCGTGTTATTCGGCCCAGAATTTAGTTTGTTCCTTGGGACCCAGGCGTCTCTGTAAGCTTTCCCTGCTCGGGAACCCTTGGCAGACAAGTGCCACTGATGTCCCTGGAAATGTTCCTCTTGTTTACAGTACAATTCTCTCTCCACTGACCTCATCCACCCGATGAGTTGTGTTTACAGTGTGTGATCACTGTGTGATATCTGATGACAAGTCACATACAGAACTTCAATGTCTGATCTTCACATACATGAGACCCGCCCCAGCCTGGAGCTCGCCCCTCTCTTCTATACCTCTTCCCGGGAGCTCGCCCCGTGCCTCTTCCCGGGAGCTCGCCCCGTGCCTCTTCCCGGGAGCTCGCCCCGTGCCTCTTCCCGGGAGCTCGCCCCGTGCCTCTTCCCGGGAGCTCGCCCCGTGCCTCTTCCCGGGAGCTCGCCCCCTCTGTCCCGCGCCTCTTCCCGGGAGCTCTCGCCCCTCGGTCCTATAGCAATAAACTGTTTTGTAAATAAAGACAACCAGATTGATTCATTTGGGTGCCTTCACATGTGTTTTCCCACAAGTTCTACTGCATGAGAATACACATTTTAAAGTGTATACATAGACATAACTCATTCGTTATGGATAGTCGAGAAGGGTTAAATCCCTGTCAGGTGATTTTTTTTTTTCCTGCTGCCTGTGTACCATTGGGGAAATTTCCCTTCACTTCCTGTACCCTTAGTGCAACAGGAAGTTAGAGGAAATCTCCCAAACTGAAGGGAAGTCCTCTCTTAGGCCTTGTTAAACACTGTTTTTAAAGGGAGTGCTAACTTTCACAATGTGAAGCTTGTTGAACGCCTGCTAGCCGCTTGTTTAAAGTGGCAGTCAGCACTTCTATTGAGATCTGTTTATCACTCCCAAACTGAAGCTGTAGGGTTCTTTAAAAGAAAAGTAAATAAGGGGTTTTCTTTTGGTTCACAGGAGTAGATTTACAAATGTTATCCTGTGACCCAAAGTCAGATGTTAGTGTACTTATGCCCACTATCAGTTGACCGCATACAGCCTCGCTGCGGTTGAGAGGGAACCTGACAATATTGTTGTCTGTGTACCTGACAGCTGGCTCTACCTCTGAGTGCAACTGAGAACTACAATCAAGAGCAGGGAACCCTTTCAAATTACAACATTTAGCACTGTGAACCCTTGTTTACGCTGAGCAGAGATTGTTGTTTTTTCTGCATATATAAGCGTTTGTAAATCTTATTACAAGCATTGAGCATGTGTATTAATCTTCAAGCAGTTTCAGTTTTGGCCAATAGAAAGCAGTTCTAGAGGAAGAGAGCAGTTGTTCAGGTACAAAAACGAGTGTGCGTACAAGGGTGAACAGGAACAATTGGAAATAATTTGATTCTGCATGCTGACTGTAGTCAGACGTAGGGGAAACAAGCTGGAAAATGGAAGCTTCTAGTACAGAAGTGTGAATGGAGGCTTCTAGTACAGTTGACTCATTGTGGAAACAAGACATTTCTAAGGACAGCCCATGTCCACAAATCAAAGCGAGCTGGGTAGGAAGCAATGTTTGTATAGTGCTTTCTAATCCTTTGGGAAACAGCCAGAACACTCTTCCATATGTCAAATCAAAAGTTTCCCCCATGATTATACTCTCATTACTTAGCTGTTCTGACAAGCTGCCCATTTACTGAGTGATGTCTGCTGGATGCAATTGATAAATAGTGGTATATGTTGTTCCCTGAAGGGATAATAAATGTGAGCAGATTTGTCAGCTGTTCAGTGCCTGTTATAGTTTGACCACTTATCCTTTACTGCTAGTGTACTGTACCGTAATGAAATGGTATTTCATTAATGACAGTATCTCTAGGTTTGGAAATGTTTGACGGAAGCATGTTCACTTTGGGTGTTTTTATTCAGTAGATATTAACTGCCCAAAGCTTTTCCAAGATATTAAATAATCATAAAACAAATGATTTGTACATGTGTATATATTATATATACACATCTCCATTGTCTGGGGGATATGTTTTTAATGCTGTGGCTCTAGATAGAATGCTTTCCTTTGCAGTGTTATTTCCTGTAAGTGAGGAAACAGGGAACTAAGGATATACCACTGATATTTATGGAGCGTAGACTGCAGTATTGTCTACGGATTTATTTATTCTCAGTGAAATTTCAAACATGTTTGAAGGGTATATATTTTTCCCTTTGGCAAAAAGTAGAAAAATGCACATTTTAGCCCCCATTCACACCTGAGTGATTTGAAGTGCATTTCCAGAAGCAATTCAATGCTTAAAGTGACATTAAACCCTCAGATTTTTTAACATAAACAAATACTGTAATGTGTGCCTTCCTGTAAACCATTGTAGTTTCCCTTCTTTGCTGCTGTTCCTTTTAAATCCTCATGTCTTCTCATGCTTGGGCAGAACTTCCCTTTTCAGCTCAGGGCCTCTTCCTGTAGTGCTGGCTCAGGTTACAAGCGTATACAAACCTATACACAGACACAGTGTATCTATTCCTCAGACAAGGCAGTCTGCTGCAAAACAGAAGTTCTGCCCAGCATGAGAAGAGATACAGATTTAAAAGGAAGAGCAGCAAAGAGAAGGGAAACAACCATGGATTACAGTAAGGCACACATTACAGTATTGTTTTATGTAAAAAAAATTGGAGGGTTTAATGTCAATTTAACTCTGCGATCTCTATGTTGTTCTATTGTGCATGTCTGAGGAATGTGCTGTCGCCCAACGTTAAGAAAAGGTACAGGCCCTCTCTGGGTCATAATCACAAGATCACAACTTCTTGGTCCTAAAAGAGTTTTATGTGAGCACCTAAAGCCCCTTGTAGAAATGAGGAGGAAAAAAATGTCCAAAAATATCAATGCTCAAAGTGTGAATGTAGCTGTTAGCAGCAACTAAGACACATTCTAACCCCCCTATGTGCTAGCAATAAAGTTAAGTGAAAATAAGTCCCCCCCATACATACACGCATGCAAACAGGCTTCAGCTGCGCATACGTGCGAAAACGACGATTGCGCCTATTACGCCGCACATGTTGCATATCGTCGCGAACGTCGGAATGAGAGCAATAGTTCTAGGGCTATCAATCACTGATAACACTAAACTGATGAGCTGTAAAAGTTTTTAAAGTGTCTCCTATGGTCAATTTTGGGTATGGTAGTTTGTTGCCATTTCGCGGGTGCGCTTAATTTTAAAGCATGACATGTTTGGTGTCTATTTACCCAACGTGACCCCGACTTTTATATTTTACTAAAAATTTGGGTAATAATAAATGTTTCCTAACATAATGAAAAAAAATTTGGCCAAAAATGTCAATAGTTTTTCCTTTAATATAGTAAAAATAAAAACCTCAGTGGTGATTAAATACCACCAAAATAAAGCTCTATCTGTCCCCAAAAAATGGTATAAAATTCATTTCAGTACAGCGTTGCATGACGGAATAAATATCAGTCAAAGTACCACAGCGCTGAACACTGAAAAATGGCCTGGCCAGGAAGGGGGTCTAAACACCTGGTCTTGAAGTGGTTAAATCCAGGGAATACCAGGCATCGAGCATTTTCAGAAGGTTGGCAATGGCAGCCATCATATTTCTCCCAATAAAGTTTTATTTTAACACCTAGCCTTACTCCTAAAATTTGACCTGGTCTTAAAGTGAAAGTCAAAATGTTTTTAAGCCATTTCAGATGATGACATCACTTACAATGGATGTTGCTCATTGAAGTTTAAAGATTTAGATTTCCTGCAGAATCAGCTGGTCTTCTGAGCACTGGTCCTGTTATCCTGCTGTAGGGCCCATTCACACCAATTGTGGTGCGTTCCAGAGCGGGAGCTGCTGCAACACACTGTAATCGCACTCTAAACTCCCCCCTTCATTCTGGAGCAGGCGTAGCAGTGCATTTAAGTCAATGGCACCGCAGCCACGCCCCACAGTGCGTTCAGACGCCTGGCATTACATTGCCTGCGTTCCAGTCCAGTGCAAATAAAAAAAAAAATGCTGCAAGTGTGTGTGTGTGTGTGTGTGTGTGTGTGTGTCTCCACCAACACACAGCAAAGCAAGCCATTCCCCTGCTCCTCCCCTCTAGTAGATGGACGGCTGCTGGAGTCTGCTCTGTCCCTTGTGATCTTGTACTCAACAGGAATCTCAGGGAAGCCGAGCTGAGGGAGTTGGGTTCAGCGGTTTGGAAACATTATGACTGTCAGCGTTTGGGCAAAAATGTACAGAAATACTTTGCTGGGCAATGTATATTTGTTTGCTCATTATTGAAAAAAAGTTTGAGAGTTTGAATACTGTTTTAAGAAAGTTCTTCAAATAGATTCCTGGGGCTCGTTCAAGTGCCCTTAGATCCTAGATGTCAGCTGTATTGGGCAGCCGCTTCTGTCCAAACGCGCATATTCGAAACGCCTAGGTGTGAACCCAGCCTGAGGGCTGGCTCACACCACAAACTCAGCGTTCCAGTGCGTTCGGCCTCTTAGTGCTTGCATTCTGGTCCAGTGTGATCTGCAAAAATAGTGCTTGCAGTATTTTTGCAGATTGCACTGGACCGGAAGGCAGGCACTAAAGTGGCTGTGGTGCCATTGACTACAATGCACCGCCATGACCCCTCCCGACCCTGAATGCTGGCTGGCTTGCGTTCCAGAGGCCGAACTCATTGGAAAGCGGAGTTTGTGGTGTAAATCGGTTTTAAATGCAGATTCACATATGTCAGTGCTACAGCACATCATTTTTACTTTAAGGTTAAGATCATTCTCGGACCTTGATGTATTAATTTTTTGGCCAGCAAAGGAATGTCCCACATTAAAGTGGCTGTTGAATCATTTGCCAGTATCAGAATCAAAAAGGTGATTTTGTCCTAAACTACTCGCATCTCTCCGCGTCTCCGCCACTCACTCCCGTCTGAAGATCGTGAAGGATCATGGGGTAGGCGCATGCGCAGTTGAGATCTTCGGCGGGGAGAAGGAGTGACACAGCCGGCAGC